ATTTTGTGACATTAAAATTTTTATATGTTTTTTTTTAATTTTTTCAATACATTTTTATATTGCATAAAAAACAAAATAAAGCGAAAAAAAAAGTCGTCTTCTTCTTCTTCCCCGCTCCACCCCCCTCCCCCACCCAGCCACCCAACTAAATTTATAAAGGGGTATTATGACATTTTCACTGATAGAATACCATAAAAAATTGCATAACCCGCGAGTGATTGGCATGATTTGTCTCCAGGGGTCTCGATGCCCTGACTTTGTTAACACAGGGGTGTTGGTGAGTTTTTTTTTTTTGTTTTTGACATGGGTATTTGATAATTAGATATAACACGGGGTGGTATTTTGCAATAAAATCGAATTTCAAACTTCCTCCTCTTTTTTGGTTTCTTTGTTTTCCTTTGGTGAAAGTTAAAAATGGTACCCGAATTCATTGACTTCCGATTTATGTGCACTCTATTTAAATAGATGGTGTTGAAGTTGATGTGCTTTAGAGCAACTGAGCCAAGTCATATAAAATAGTAGAATGACTGTCATAAAACAGTAAAATACTTCAATTATTACTTAATGATTATTTATACAACTTATAAATTCAAATCCAAGATTCATGACAATGGTGTCTTTTCTAGGATTCATATTTTCTGCCAATTGTAATTCATTTTTTTTCCTGAATCTCGTTGACATCAATTGTATTGAATAAAAAAGAAAAAATCCAAGACAAAGAAAAGAAATTGGCCGATACTAAATAAGTATATGCATTAGACTATTGGAACTGAAAAAAGATAAAAACTCACAACTGATTCTTTAATTAAAATATATATATATATATATATATATATATATATATATATATATATATATATATATATATATATATATATATATATATATATATATATATATATATATATATATATATATATATATATATATATATATATATATATATATATATATATATATATATATATATATATATATATATATATATATATATATATATATATATATATATATATATATATATAATATGTGCTGGTTTATCTAAATTTCAATAAACTCTAGCTACCTCAATAGCTCACGTTTGTTCATAACAATATCTTCTATCACTGCCAAACACTTCGAACATTTCTTCTATCACGTTTGGTTTATCTATTTCGTTTCTGCCTCCCGAACCCTGGGACCGACCCAAATAAATTATAAAATTTCATTTACAAATAATTTTATATAGATTTATTTAATAGAGGAAAAAAATTAAAAAAAAAACCTCAATTTCATTTCGGCCTCCCGAACCTGGGACCGGTGTTGGTGGTAATACCTACACACAAGTGCACGTATCGTACAAGTAATATAGTGGACAATTAAGTCCGAATACCGATTCGACATAGAATATTTAATTATTTAATCATAGACGCTAAATCCTAGCAATTATTATCAAGCTCACCCTACACAGTCGACTTTAGAGAAAAGTAACTAAATTAAAGCAAATTAAAAAAGTTAAAAGCAAGAAAGCAATTTAAAACGAAGATTTATCAGAGTAAACAAGCCTAGGATTTTATTATTCCCCCAATATGATTATTACTCCCCCAATTCCTTCAATTATGCAAGCAATTAACCCGTATTATTAACCGGAGATGCTAAATTAATCATAACTCGCTTCCGCGTGTATTACGATTTTAATAATCTAGGTTCAATTACTGTATTCCTACGCAATTAATTCTAGAACACAACATTAAGCACAAATCTCAATAATGGCTACCTAAGAGATTAACTATATTCCTATGTTAATACCACAAAGGTTCTCCTACCACAGTTCTAATTATTAACTCAATCTTCCGATTCATGCGATTAACAATAACATAAAAGGACATAAAATGGCCAGTTTCATGAACTTAATAAAACAAGTTGGAGAAATAATCCGAAATTAAAACTTGCATAAAATCATAAAATTGGGTTCACAAATACCACATAGGGTTCAAAATAAAATCCTAGAAATAAGTGCAAAAGCCACTATAGTTTGGGGGGCAAAGTGCCAATTACCCATATATTAATATCAATAAAATAATAGATGTTTTTAAAATATAGAACCAAATTTAGGAATGATGCATATCGAGTTAACCGGTTTAAGAACCGGAACCGACACATGATTTTGGATGGGTGTATAGGATTTTGACATCGATAATGGTTTTAAGATTTTTAGAATCAAACGGTTTTGGGGGTTAATGAAGTTTGAAATTTTAGGACTTTAATAAAAACTAAATTAGCATATTTTTAATATTATACTTGTATAGAAAAAGGTATAAAAAAGAAGAAGAAAATATATGTACAGATATTTCCAATTTTATAGTGAACACCAACATTTTGTACTTGGTTACCACATTTTTATTGTTGATTCTGGAAAAAAAATGAAATTATACTTAGATTTCAGAACTTTTGTAGTTGATATTGAAAATTTTATATTTAATTTTCGTAAAAAACACCGTAAACCAAAAATATAAAATTGAAAATAAAAAAAAATAATAATAAAATAATAAAATGAAAACTGCATCAGTAGTGTATAGGGGTGAAAGTCGGATGGATCGGATCGGAATTAGCCTTTTCGGAAAATTTCCAAAAAAATTTGGAAGTACAAAATCAATTCCAATTCCAATTCAAATTTTTTCGGAATCTAAAAGTTCATTCCAATTCCAAAAGGCCCGGAAATTTCGGAATTTCGGAAAAAAATCGGAAATCACATAAGCTTTAAAATTTCAAAACTTAGCCGAAATTTTATAAAATGTTCATAATGTTTTGAAAATAGAGCATCCACGTCGATAAAAGTAAAACTAATAACTACTAAGTGTTAGTTCAAAAAAATAAATAAAAATAAACACAACATAATATCCAATAAAACTTCCAACAACAATTTATTATGTCAAAATCCTAAAACAAAACTTATAGGTGTATTTTTCGGAAAATAAGTATTATATACTATTTATAGGTGTATTTTTCGGAAAAAAATCTGAATTTTTCGGAATTAATTTCGGAACTAAATTGGATCGGAAATCGGAAATCCCAAATTTATTTTATATAATTCTAATTCCAATCCAAAGGAATCGAAAAATTTCGGAAATCGGAATTTCGGAAGTCGGAATGAAAAAGTTGTTCCAAAATCGGAACTTTTCGGATCGAAACCGACGGAAATTGGAAAATCCGTTCCAACTTGCACACCTAGTAGTGTATACTGAGTAGTTAATAGTGGTATATTTGTAATAAAGTAATGGTGAGTCTCCCACTAATAAGAGAAAAGTGGTCAGACTCATCTTTGTTAACAAATCATAGAAGGGGTTCTCACTAATAGCTCTTACATAAATAATAGTGTTCTAAAAATCGGTTAAGGTGGCCGATTAATCGATCTCCAAGGCGGAGATGGTCTAAAACCTTTACTGCTTTGGTGTAAATTAAAGGTTTGAAAAATCGGTTTTCGCTTGCAAGGTAGTTTGAGGCGGGTCAAATTTTATTCGAAAAAATCGGTCAAAAATCGGACTTTTTTTTTTTTTTTGTTAATAAAAAAGGGTCTTTAATCAAAAATGAATTTATGCTTTGTTTATTTTGTCTATACTAATTTTTATTTTTGAAGGACCTAATGATATATGCTTGCAATGTTCAAGCATAATTTTGAATGCACAAAATTTTAGATTTATTTTTATTTTGTAGGATTTTTATTATATTATGATCTTACTATTATCAATATTTTATTATGTGCGTATGATATGTAAATCATGGGGATAAAATTATATTTAAATATTTTTTTATATATATTGTGACTTGTGAGTATTTACAAATAGTATCTAACAATATGTTACTTTAAAAAATCGAACTGTTTCTATTTTATCCCAATTGATCACCGCCGTACTAATCGTGATGCAGAGCCTAACCGCATCGGACTCCATCCCGACATTTTACAACCGTGATAAATAGCAGTGTTCTAAATATCGGTTGTGGCGGCCGATATATCGGCCGTCATATCGGTGGCGGGAACAAACCTTTACGATATTTGTGTGCGGTTTTGAAAATCGGTTTTTTGACGGTGAGGCGGTCCAAGGCGGTTTGTGGCGGTCTGTGGCGGGTCAAACCGATATATCGGGTCAAATTTCGAGCGATATATCGAAAAAATATTTTTTTTTTCTAATTTATTTATTTATTTTTTATTACAATGAAAATAGGGTGTTTATCTTTATTTTTATTTTTTTTCAATTCCAACCCATTATCTCTTTCAATCAAACCGAAACTCACCGATCCCGTAAGAAGAACCTGCCCTAAAAATAAAAACATTTAGAACGTAACGATGAGGAGAGAATCAAGTTCTAAATGTTAAACTTTTGTAATGTGATTAGATTATATAAACGATGAGGAGAGAATCAAGTTCAATTTTTTTTATGCGTTTTAAGTATTAAAAAATAATATTTAGAAATATATTACACTAAATCTAAAAACCGATTTATTTCCGATATATCTCCGATTAATCGCCGCCACACCGATTTATCGTGTGGCGGTCCCTAACCGCCTCGAACCCGATAACTGATATTTAGAACCTTGATAAATAGTAATAAAAAAAAGTGTAAATTTAATTAAACTAAGAAGAGAGAATAATATATGTCATTCAAAAATAAAAATAAAAGAATATGACCACTGTAAGTCGGTAATTGCTGAAGTTTCATAAAAAAAATAACGGTAAAAAGGAAAGAAACAATTATGAAAGAAATAACTACCAAATAGAGCGGAGAGGGAAAGAAAATAGTTGTATGAAAACCCTAAAAACGACTCCTCATCTTCTTTTATAATTCCTTGTGTAATAAGTTATTTCCTTAAATATTTTAAACCCTAGTAATATATATATAGATAATCTTGTCGTAAACAAGAATTTTCCTTATTTTTCTTTCCAATCTCTCTCAACTCTCAGGTTACGTTATAATCTGATATATTCAACATACGCTGCTGGTTGTTTGTTTCCGACAAAGATAATGTTGTCGCATACGAGGAAAAGGATGCGTGAAAATACGATTAACGTTTCGGTACGAGTTGCGAAAAATCGGAAGTTGGATCCGATATTGAAAGTTGAGTGCGGTAATATTTTAAAAGAATTAATGAATCACCCTGCTGGATGGGTTTTCAGCGAGCCTGTTGATCCTGTGAAGTTACATATTCCCGATTATTTCTCCATTGTCTCCAAACCTATGGATCTTGGAACCGTAGAGGGTAAACTCAATATTTACTCTTGTGCCGACGAGTTTTTCGACGATGTGAAACTGACTTTTGCGAATGCGATCTTGTACAATCCCGGTTGGAACCAAGTTCATCACTTGGCAAAGCAGTTGGATTCTCTCTTCTGTAAGAGATGGAAAAAATTCGAGGCCGATCGAAAACGAAAGAAAGATTCTGATACTCAGTGTGTTCGAAAGAAATTGAAAAAAGATTTGTCTACAGGTCAGGGTTTTTGTATTCAACCATGTAGGGTGGGGGTTGGTTCGAAGGACGATTCTACCCCTGCGGCCTCCAGTACTTCTGTTGCTAATGTCCAAAAACGGAAAAAAGATTCCGTTGCTGATTCAAAACTGGATTCAATAAAGGGCGTTGCTGCTGCTTCGATTATTATGTCTACATCGAACGTCGAAGAAATGTCTCTGAATATCTCTATGAGAGCTGCGATGCTGAGAAGTCGGTTTGCAGAAACAATCTTGAAAGCCAAGCAACAATTGCACAAGGGTTCTAATGAAGAGAGAGAAAGAATCGAAGAAGAATTTAGAGCTGCACAAAAGGAAGATTTGAAGACGAGACGCAAGATTGAGAGGATGGCTCTTGAACAGATGGAAAAAAGCATTAGTATAAATGACGATAACGCCCATCTGTTGAAAGAGTTGGAGAGTTTGTGCGGCGATTCGGCATACAATCTATTTTACGGAAAGGTTACTATTGCTAGTAATTGTGTGGTTGTAAACCCTCTCGAGAAACTCGGCCTCTATCTAAAGGAGGATGATTATTATTATTTAGAAGATGAAGAACAAGATCGTGCACTGCTAGTTATCGAGGATGAGTTGGAAGAAGGGGAGGTTCGTTAGTTTAGTTCCTCTCGATCTGCTGTTTTGTTGTAATTAGTTCTATGTAAGAGATTTCTAATTATGTAAAACTTTATATTATTTTCTCAGATAATTGAATTGAATATTTTGTATGTCGGAAGTTGCTGTGAAATTGAATTGAATATATATATATATATATATATAATATGTGGATGAGAGGAGATAATATCTTTTTAGTACAGCAAATCTATCATTCAAAAAAAAAATGTGACAACGGTAATAAATAGCTGGCTTTTTCTAAGAAAAAATAATAATAGTAATAATAATAATTACCATATAGGAACATTATGGTAAAAGGAAAGTAGTGTTTTATGAAAGAAAGGATTAGTAAATAATTTTATGAAAACCCTATAAAACAACTCATCCCCTTCTTTTATCGTTCCTTGTGTAATAACTAATAAGTAATTTCCTTAAATATTTCAAACCCTAGTAAAATATATAGTCTTGTCATAAAGCGAAAGTTTAATTCCTTATTATTTCTCCATATCTATCTCGTTCAACAAAGATACAGATTTAATTTGTTAAACAAAGGCAGCCTGCTGCTGCTTCGATTATGTCTTCATCGAACGTCGAAGGAATGTTACACAATCTTCAAAGCCAAACATCAACTGCAACACAAGGGTTCTAATGAAGAAAGAAAAGATTTTGAAAATAAAAGGATAAATTTAGAGAGAGAAAGGATCGAAAAAGAATTGTCATGAACTACTACTACTTCAATTGACACAAGGGTTCTTCTCTTAGTTAATTGAATATTCGATTATTATGTATGTACAGAGTTTCTTGAAATCTAATTGAATTAATTAAGGGGATATTTGTAAGAGGTTTTCTCGTGTAAATTTTATTCTTCTCTTAATTGAATATTCGAATATTATGTATGTACGGATTTTCTTGAAATTTAATTGAATATTGATTTTATTTCCAGTGATGTTTGTTCTTGCTTCTAGTTTATACATATTGATATTTCCATCTTTATTCATGAGTTTGAATACTGATTACTTTAAGTAATTTATATATTTATTAGAAGGAAGAGATGAAGTGTTGATCGAGTAATAATTAGAAGAATTACAAGACGTTTTATTTACTACGTACCAATAATGTAGGTAGAGAGAGAAAAAAAATTAGGGTAAATTACGGTCACCCGTAAGGTCAAATTGCAAAAAAACCTCTCATATTTGGGTAATTACAATCACTTCTCCAACTATGAATCTTCTTATGGTGTTAATTTTAACATAATCTTTTAGGTTTAGTGAAAGGTTCTTCTAGTTTGTACTTGTTTTGTGCACAAATGTATTTTCTAATGCACCACAATCTGATACTTACAAGCCAAGAGACATATCTTGTGATCATCTTGTTTCAAAATGTGAAGCTCGGATGAGATAAAATGAATACAAATTTGAGTATATTCCACATAATCTAGAAGTTTCCACTAAAATTGACACCACCAGGGTGAACGTGTTAGAAGATTCATAATTGAGGGCACGAGTAGAAAAATGACCTCTTACTACGAATTTTTCTGTTGCGATAAAAAAACGTAACAAAATGTACCATTTACTACAGGACAATCTTGGAGTCGTAGTGGGATTTATCGTAACAAAAAAATATTTGCTTTGGCCGTTTACCGAAGCAAAGTTTTTATCATGCTGTTGGCTGTAATACCTACACGCAAGTGCACGTATCGTACAAGTAATAAAGTGGATTTTTAAGTCCAAGTATCGATCCCACAGAGAATATTTAATTATCTAATCCTACACGCTAAATCCTAACAATAATTATCAAGCCCACCCTAAACAGTCGAAAGATGAACAATTATACTAAATTAACTAAAGCAATTTAAGCAAATTAAAAAGACAAGAGCACGAAAGCAAAAAAACGAAGATTTAATTAGAGTAAACAAGCCTATGATTTTATTCTCCACCCCCTATGTGATTATTAATCCCCCAATTCCTTCAATTATGCAAGTATATTAAATCGAATTACTAACCTGAGATGCTAAATTAATCATAACCCGCTTCCGCGTGTATTAAGATTCGAATATTCTAGATTCAATTACTGTATTCATACGCAATTAATTCTAGAACACATCATTAAGCATAAATCTCAATAATGGGTACCTAAGATATTAACTATATTCCTATGTTAATACCACAAAGCCTCTTCTACCATAGTTCTAATTATTAACATGATCTTCCGATTCATGCGATTAACAATAACATAAAAGCACATAAAGTGGCCAGTTTCACGCACTTAATAAAACAAGTAGAAGAAATAATCCGGAATTAAAAATTGCATAAAATCATAGAATTGGGTTCATAAATCCCCCATAGAGTTCGAAATAAAATCCTAGAAATAAACGAATGAGCTACTCATGATTAAAGTAAAAATGCAAGTAAAATAAATCGTAGACGATAAATCTATGCTTGGAATCTTCGAATCCTTCGTCTTCGTTATTGCTTCTTTGCTCTTGAAATTGCCTAAATGATGGATCCCCAATTGTGAGCTTGAATTGGTCTTGTATAGGGTGGAAAACTTGGAGAATAAAGTAGTTTTGTTGTGCAATTAGAATTCCTTTACGGCGCCTGTTAAGTGTATATTTTTACACTTTATCGTACTTTTTTATTTGAACTTTTGGTGTGTTTTAACGATAATTGGTGCTTAAAAAGTTGATTTATTGTATTTTAGGTACAAATTGAAGAATTGGAAAAGTATGGGGTCAAAACTGCAATTTTGGAGAAAATATGGGCCAAAAGTGAAAAAATAAAAAATCGGAAGATATATAGCATGGGACGGCCGTCCCAGATTTACACTTAAAACTGGGACGGCCGTCTGAGAAGCAGAAGCTGCCCCTGGTTTTGGGACGGCCGTCCGAGTTTTAGTACAAAATTCGGGACGGCCGTCCGAGATGACGAAAAGGCACAGTAAAAGAATCCTAATTGCATAAGGAAACTACCTTCTTCTCCAAATTTTCCACCCTATATAAGACCAAGACAAGCACACAATTGGGGATCAATCTTTGGACGCAAATTCAAGAGCAAAGAAGATCAACGAAGATTCAAGCATAGTTTTTCTTATTTAATTTATTTATTTTATTTTCTTTATCATAAGAACTACAAGTAGCTAAATCTTTAGATTCTAGGATTTTATTTGGAACCCTATGTGGGATTTATGAACCCAATTCTATGATTTTATACAAGTTTTAATTCCGGATTATTTCTCCTACTTGTTTTATTAAGTGCATGAATTGGATCACCTTATGTGCTTTTATGTTATTGTTAATCGCATGAATCGGAAGATCGGGTTAATAATTAGAACTGTGGTAGAAGAGCCTTTGTGGTATTAAAATAGGAATATAGTTAATCTCTTAGGTAGCCATTATTGAGATTTGTGCTTAATGCAGTGTTCTAGAATTAATTGCATAGGAATATAGTAAATGAATCTAGAGGATTAGAATCGTAATACACGCGGAAGCGGGTTATGATTATTTTAGCATATCAGGTTAATAATTCGGGTTAATTGCTTGCATAATTGAAGGAATTGGGGGAGTAATAATCACATAGGGGGAAGAATAAAATCCTAGGCTTGTCTACTTTGATTAATCTTCGTGTTTAAATTGCTTTCTTGTTTTTATCTTTTTAATTGCTTTAATTTAGTTTAATTTAGTTAATCTTTTCCAAATTCGACTGTGTAGGGTGGGCTTGAAAACAATTGGTAGAATTTAGCGTCTAGGATTAGATAATTAAATATTCTCTGTGGGATCGATACTTAGATTTAAAAAATCCACTTTATTACTTGTACGATACGTGCACTTGCGTGTAGGTTTTTCGGCCAACAAGTTTTTGGCGCCGTTGCCGGGGAATATTTTAATTATTTATTTTATTCTAGCTCTAAATTTGAACAATTTTCACGATTCACCCAATTTTTGTTTATTTTAATTTTTCGTTTTAATTTTTATTTTTCATTTTTTTTCCTTTGGTTAGATGTCAGGTTACAATTTCCGCGCAACTCAAACGGGTTATGAATGGCTTCCGTCTTGCAAATACATCCCAAATACCTATGATATGCCGTTGCTTTGTTCAATATGTGGTGGAGATCATTAGGCTAACCAATGTTGGTATGCACCGAAGGCGAATAATTTCATAGGTAATACCAACAGAGGTTATTGGAACACATACACCAACACGTACGAGCAGAGCACTCCAAGCCAAGATTTTCACAATTTTCAACATTGTGAGCCGCAATTTGATGATTTTCAAACCTATTATGCAAAGCCACGAGGACCCACTATTGAGGAGTGTTATAGGAAATCCATCCTTGAAGATTTTATGAAATCCACTTAAGCATCTATCCGAAGATTGGAAATAATGTTGGAAGAGATGAAGCTCAAGAGGTCTCTTGAAAATATTTCAGACAATGTGGAGAATGGTTGCAACAAAGAAAATCTGTCTGAAACTTGTAGTGAGCAAAATCCTTTAGACCTAGAAAATAGTGTCGATCAGAGGGAAAAAGAAACTATGAAGACGCTTAAGGATGATGAATCTGACAATGCAATCGAGCTCAACTCCAAAGATGTCTCGAAACAAGAGAAAAAGGAGATGGGTGAGGTTAGTGCAAATTCAAATTGAGGATATTATTGTTGTTCATGACGTGGCTTTGAAGGCATCAATAGAGGTTGGTGAGAAGAAGAATGTGTTTGAAGTGGAGGTTATACGCGGACGTGAGGTTTTTTTGTACCAATTTGAGGGAGCGGGTGATGAAGATCCCAACTTGGCTTCGTACCAATTGATTACAACTAAGAAAGACTACAAGCTAAGGTGGACCCTGACATATTGCAATCATATCCCTGTATCGGTTACAATTGAAGTGAAAGCGCTCATGGATGGATGCGCAATTTACAAGGCTTTGGATTTGACATAAAAATTTTAAGAAGCAAAGTCTGGCTGAAGACTTAAAACTTAGCGCTTCTTGGGAGGCAACCTGAGCTTTAC